TCGATCAAGTGGGGGATCGACCCAGCAAGTCGATCTAGTAGGGGATCGACCCAGCAAGTCGATCAAGTGGGGGATCACCCAGCAAGTCGATCATATTTGGGATCGACCCAACAAGTCGATCTGACTATCCTGAGTTTTATAACTATAATTATTTAAACATTTTAAATATGAAGACCAAAGTAATGGCATTTACGGAAATACATTATACGTACTTCATGAAAAGTATGACTTGTGGCAGAGGTAGAAAAAATCCAAAAGTTCCAGAAAATATACTGCTTGCTTGAGCGCAAGTGAGAAGGGATTATCACGACCAGGCGCCAGGATTGCTGCGTCTTCGTTATATGGTAGAGTTCCATTGTTTATCTTCCTGCAATCTTGATATTTCTCGTTGTACGATTTGATCTCGTTAAGTAATGGATGAAATTACGTTACATATTTCGTAAATAATTATTACAGTTTTCATTTTCGGTCTATTACAGGCAAATAACACACACACACACCTTTTCTTTCACTCAAACACACATTGAGGTTTTCGTAGAGAAACAAAATATTCCTATATTTTTAGTTCAATTATAATTGAATAGTTATATAATGACACGGTCTGTACACAGAACAAACGGTTGTCAAGCTCGGGCCATGTGCAGGTGTTGCGGTTCAAGTGCCCGAGTGCGGGCGATAGTCTGGGTGCAGCTCTCGGAATGCACATAGCCAGCGAAATTCGTTGCACACGGCCAAAACAAATTAACGAATGTGTTTGCCAACCGGCCATTCTCCAGCGCTGAGGGCAGTGTCACGTGAACTAGCGGTATATAGGTTAGCGGCGAAAATCGCTTGGCGGAATTCGATAACGTATGAAATCTTCGTGTTGATGCTCATTGGTTGGTGGGAGGTTTCAGTTTGTTGGCCAGGAAACGTGCTAGATGTTGAGTAGGAGAGTTGATGGCACTGACAATCGGACGGAGAGGAACATCGGGTTTGTGGATTTGGGGTAGGCCAAAGATGCGCTGTGTGCGGTGGTTGTTGGCATACTTGAAGATTTTCCTTTCTTGGTCGCAAATGGAGGAGGCCTCGTTTATGCGAGACATGACTTGTTGCCTCACCTTGCCTAATGGGTTGTGGTCCAGTTTCTGGTAGGTTGTCCGGTCACTGAGTAAGTTGGCCATCTTGGCATGGTTTTTGCCGCTTTAAATTATTACGGAGGCGTTGCCTTTATCAGCGGGAAGAATGACGATGTCATTTCGCTGCTTAAGGTGTTTCAAGGCCAATCTCTCATCATGGGAGATTTTACAAGGAGGGGGAGTGGCGCGGGTCAGGATTGCGCTCGTCTCCCGTCGTATGTCTTCAGCACGATCTTCCGGTAACCCACGCAGCGCTGTTTCCACGGCGGCGATGACGTCATCGGTAGGGATCTGCTTGGGGGTGACGGCGAAATTGAGCCCTGGGGAGAGTACTGTTGTTGTGGCAGTGTCAAACGTTTCGGTGGTCAAGTTGACTACTGTGTTGCGGAGGACGACTTGGGCTTCCGGCCGAGTACATTTATGCTGTAAATCGGTGAATTTTCTCACCTGTCGGCTTCTAGCGGTGTCTTGCGAACTAACAGCGTTGTTTGATGATATGCAGTCAAGTCTGTCCCAGTCTTCAGGCCATAGAGTGTGGCTGATATTCAGGTTTATCTGTAGAGTACCTGCTCAATAGACGCGATATCCGATCGAGCATGATGTATGCGCACCCGTAGTAGCTGTTCGCTGGTACCCCGGAGGATCCGTTGAACCGTATTGGTCTTGATGTGATGAGAAACATTGAGAAATTTGGGAAGGACATTGCAGTCGCGGCAACGTAAAAGGAAGGCGAGTTGACAGATCCTCTTAGCGCGAGTAATCCTCAGTTGGCTGTATCTTCTGGTGGATTTAAACATACACTCCCCGTAGAGGTTCGTTATATGGGTTCGTAGGCTCCGTTCGTAGGGAGATGAGACACGCCAACCTCTTGGCAGCAGTATAGCTCTGAAGAAGGCCACAGCAAGATGGCCGAAACGTCAATTTAATCAACTGAGACGCGGCTCATCCCGGATAGCCAAGAAGACATTGACTCCGGCCACGGAAGCCTACGAACCCGTAGCACCGCTTTAACCGCCGGGCCTGGTCGTGCCACCGCGCTGACAGAGGGCCCACAACGGGCGGGTGGGTGGCGCAACCGCGCAGAAGAGGAAGTGAGGGGGGCAAGGTGTTTTCGTAAATTTCACTTTACGACACTCCTATTTGTCCGATTTGCATGATCGTCACAGCGTTGGATTCAGGAAGCATGTCGCCATCGCGCTATAAGCCCACATTTTTTAATTTTTTTCTCAGTAGTTTCAGAACTAATTTCAAATTCGCGTTTTTGCTACATTTTTGGAAAAAGGTCATCGTAGCGTAAATTCTATTTTAAAAAGGCGTCAAATGCCGTTTACAAATCGAAAATCAGTTCAGACGTTATCGGTAAAGTAAATTTTACTTATTTGGTGCTGCCACGTGGTGGCTACAAATGGTACTAGTGTCGGGACATTTAGCCTTAATCCATGCGCATAAAAGTTTAAGTAATTTCAGCACTTTAAATTAATTAACTGCACGTGAAACTGTCAGATGTCAACGGAAACATCAGACAGGGACAACAACAATGCCATCCTGTACACGTAGGCTTCCGCGGCTCGAGTCCATCACTTCTAGGCTGTCCGGGTGAGGCCGCTTCGTTGGCAGATAGGCCGACGTTTCGCCTGTCATGTCGCAGGCTTCTTCAGGGTACTCATGAAGCCTGGGATACTCACTTCAGGGTACTCAGTACCCTGAAGAAACCTGCGACATGACAGGCGAAACGTCGGCCTATCTGCCAACCACACGGCGTCACCCGGACAGCCTAGACGTAACAAAGCCATCCTGTAGGAATAATGAGAAATATAATCGGAAGCGATATAATCGGAAATATCAATTATCGTGTGAAAGAAGTAAGAAGTGGGTACTTAGGACGTAAATAGTACGATACGCCTCTGTTGCTTTCTCGCGTCTTCCGCCCCCGCTTCCAGGAGCGGCCCGCGTGCTTCGGCGGGTGTGAACCGAATTCAATTTGCCGGCGCACTTAACGGCCGGACGCCTCCGGTACAAGCGCTCGTCCGTGTCCACCTCCCCGCCCCGCACCCCCCCAATCCCCGCCTCTCAAGCCACGATCCGTGGCCTTCCGCCCGCCCCGCACCCTCACAGGCTTACACCCGCACTTCAGCCCACGGCCGTTGCCGTTGCCGCCGCACCGCCGCCGCCTCCCCATCCCCATCTCGGCCCTCACCCTCCTCCCCTCCCTCCCCTCCCTCGCCCCGCCCTTGCCACCGCGCCCGCCCCGCCTCCACCGCCGCCTCCGCCCCGCCGCCGCCTCCCCTCCCTCCTCCCTCGCCACGGCCTTGGCCTCCGCGCAAGCCCTCCGCGCCCGCGCCCACGCCCCGCCTCCGCCCCCGCCGCCGCCCCCGCTCCCGCCTTCTGCGCTGCCCGCACAATATTTATTATTATGCCAGCTCCTAAGCTTTAAAGCAGGTTTTCCCAAACAGTTTTTGTTCACTGACCTCTTGCGCAAAGAACGTTGAAACCGGCGACCTCTCCAAGTAATTTACTTTATTTTCTCAAACTAATACATTTCTTTAGAACTCATAAAATATCTCAATGAACATCGAATACTAATTTTTATAAACTACGTAATAGAAAAATAATTTTAAAATGTGTTAATGCAAAAATGGAATTAACATATCCATCATATTATTATATACAGAAATCTACACTGGCAGATTTAGACTAAAGCTCGAAATCACGAGTAGTTTTTATATTTATGAAATAAAAATGCAAGTCCACAAATTAAAAATAACTTCATTTGAAATAATAATGAAATGAAAATATCATGATCGTGCGTGTCACTGACGTTCGTCGTAACAAACCTGCAGAGTTGGCTCAATACGTCAACCGATGTCACTGCAGTGATCCTGACTGGGGTATCCTAGGGTTAGAGTTCGAATGGGGACAAGAATTTCCACTCTAGATAGAGAGCTAGATCGAATTCAGCCGATCTATAGGAGAATTCTTGCAACCGGCTGTTCAAATATGTAGTTTTCCGTGGTTGCACCGATCAACAACATGCGAATGCCTGGGCAGGACCTAACAAGCCTGGGCAGTGGCTAACAAGCAGACCTTAGTCCTTCCGCAGTCTTTCTTTCCTCCTAATTGTTCTATTCTCATCCCAAACTTTCACCCACATTCACTACACTACTACAGAAGTGGGGAGAATAGAGCTCTTCCTGTCTGGGGCTTTGAACCACTGGTGGGAGATACCTGAATAATGAAAACTTCACAAGCCGATGCGTCGGTCTACGCCAGATTTCGGCATCCAAGGGTAGAAAAACGCCTCCTTCTCTGATTAAAAGTATGCCCTATACTTAAGGGACTAATCATCATTGAACTTGATGCGCCCGGAAATAAGAAATAATCAATCATCGAACACGCAACAGTTTTCTTCCTTTGAACGATCTTTGCTTCTTTTGAATTGACACGAATAGAAGTGTATTTTATGCTTCATGTTATTTCATGCAAAAACATAAAAGTTTGCTATTAGGAACCTTTTGACGGGATAGATTAAAACATATTTTTAATTAATTTGATACTACATATTGTACTCGAACATTATAGTTTGAAGTAATAAACAAATAATAATTTAAGGACTACAATTCATAATTTAATAATCAGTCATTGTGATGTAAATCAATATTTGGATGTCGTCCACCATGATTTTTTTATTAAAACTATCGAGCCTTAAGTAAGTTAAAGAAAACTAAAGATGGTCGATAAAGACCATTTGGGAATGGCTACTTGATAGTACACAAAAGTACTGAAGTACACAAACATGGCGTTGCTCTATACAGATTTATTTACAATTATCTACCGTTAAATATTTTTACTCCTAAGGAACCCTTCCTCAACACACCAGACGCCTGCCCATAAAGCACGTCGCCTCTGTACCGGAGTCCCAGAACGGAACACAGCTGAGAATCGCAGCGGGCGAACACTGCGTGCGGCTCCCCTGGTGTCTTGACTGTGGGGGGAGAGGCACCTCGCAAAGCCGAGGCTTCTGACCACACCCGCATGGTTGGACAAATGTTCATCACACTGAGATTCTACTGTAATCGAATCCCGCCAGGTGGTTTCCTTCGCTAGCTCACTTTTATACCGGGGAATCATGTGACAGTAGCTCGTCTGCTCTTGACTTGCCGGTCAATATGACTCGTTGCAGTGTTCGGGCCATGAACAACAACTGCTCATTAGACACCGAGTCTCACCCCTGCTCTCGTATATGACCGGCAAGTCAAGAGCAGACGAGCTACTGTCACATGATATATACATACATATATATACATATATATATATACATACATATATACATACATATATATACATATATATACATATATATACATATATATGTATATATATGTATATATATGTATAACATGTATCCCATCCAAACACTTGCATTTGGATGGGACTGCCCAACCAGTAACTAAAGCCGGTCCCTTATTCACCGCCATCTTGGCGCAAAAGGATTAGGATAATTAACAGAGCCGGCGAAACGTATAAACTTCAGGTGGGCAGTAACATAGGAGGGGTCATGCAATTTTTTATTGCCTTAAAGTTTTCTCAAAGAAAAATATGATAATGTTATAAAATACGTAGTTTATTCAACATTTTTCAGTTTTAGGAATCCATCAACGCTCCCCCTTCCCCTTTTTTAAGCGTTACGTAACTTATAGACGACCCTAAGTGCGTTGGGCCGCAATGCGACAGCCATCCCAGCTTTGCCGCGAATCTCCCGGCCACAGCCCGGTGCCTTCGATTCCCCACCTTCGTGTTGTTCGGCCCCTCCGCGGGCGGCGCTGCTGCCGCTACCGCTGCCGCTGCTTCCTGTCTTCATTAAAGATGCTATCGGAACCACGCCCGCGAGGCGGCCGGCTTCAATTTTCCGCATCATTTCCTCGGCCAATTACCAACGAGCGGACGCCGGCGGGGGTGGGGGCGGGGACGAGTAAAGGACTGGCAGCTTCGGGGCGAGACGGGGCGGAGCGGGGCGGAGGCTGGGCTGGGTGAAGACCGGCCGGGATGGGCAGCAGTAGATATAGAGGTGGTACGAGGGCGTATTTGGTGGGACGCGGGGAGGGTGATCACTAGGAATGGAAGGCGATAGGGATTGGAGGGGTAAGCGGGGCGGGTAGGACGGGGAGTTGAAGGGATGATGAGGTGGGAGAAAGGAAGAAAAAGGGGAAGGGGGACAGGACAGGTGGGTCGGGTAGGGTTGGTGCAGGTGGGCCGCGCATGGGCAGGGCGTGGCAAAAATGGATAGTCGGGCCTGGTAGATCGGTGTGCTGTATAACAGCCTGTTTGCGGCAGGGCTGAAGGAAAGTTGAGGAAAACGCTAAGGGGGACTTGATGAGTAGTACATAAGGTGCGAATGAAGGCTTCTTGAGATTGTGGGGTGAGCGTGAGTGATGATGGGCTGCGGGGTGAAATCGGACGAGTGAGAGAAGGAGCTCTTGATATGGCGGGGAGGAGGAATGAGCCAGAGAAAGGGGTGCTGAGCAGGCGTGGTGGAGACGGGTCGGTCGGGTCGGGCGCGGGCCGGGTGGGTCGGGTCGGGTCGGGTCGGGGGAGAGCAAGAGTGTGCGGCGAGGCGAGTCCTGCGTAGTAGTGAGGCGAGGTCTGGGGTGTGGCGAGGCGATTCGATTTGAGGTGAGGTGGGGTGAAGCAAGACGAGGTGAGGTGAGGTGGGGGTGGGGTGAAGCAAGATGAGGCGAGATGACGTGACGTGACGTGACGTGAGGCGAGGCGAGGCGAGGCGAGGCGAGGCGAGGCGAGGCGAGGCGTGGTGAGGTGAGGTTAGGCGAGGCGAGGAAAAGCCAGCTGTGGTCGTGAAATCGCGTGGACTTACAATGCAAAGTCGGGCGAGGAAGTTCATCTCCCATCTAAAGGTACACTTGGATTTAAACATAACTGCCCCTGACATAAACCAGCTGTTTCGGTGTCATCGGGAGGTTGAACGCCACGATACTGGCGTTACGTCAGTGACTGGATGACAACGTTTCAGCTGACGACCTGCCAAAAGCAGCTCTAAATAAAACGAAGTATAGCAACGCCTGCTACATGCGTAGTAGCGCCCTCGCATTCTCACTCAAAGTAGTGCGTTCGTTAGATCGACCACTGTGAAGTACCCCCAAAAAGTTCTTTAAATAAAAAAAAATCTATATTCTTCAAGATAGCCAGAAAAAAAATTGGCCTCTACCGTCCTAACTTTTGAATAAAAGAAGTTTATATTAATACAAGCTCTGATGGAAAAACTTTTGCGGGCATAGTTTTTTTTAAGTTATAGAAAAACTTATAGGTGAAAGTACTTTTTTCTTTTATTCAATACGTAGTAATTTTTGTTCTAATCAGACGGTATTAAGTGTAATGTGCCTCACCGGGCATTCTGAGTGGTAATTGATAAAAAACTGCTACAAAATTAATAGCAACCGAAAGTATTGGCTTGGAGTTATGCTGTACAAATCATGCAATTGTCACCACTGGGTCTCTTAGGACCATGCTAACTTAAAATTTTGTACCACTCACAAGCAGAAACTGAAGATAATCAACTTACTATGTGAACAAATATTCAACGCAGAAAGAAGAAAAGAACGGGCGCTGAATCAATCTAACCTACGTATATTAAGTATCGCCAACTTGTGTCAAGCGAGAGACTAAATTTATTAGTAAACATTGTATTTCTAAAGCAACTATTCAATACTTCTTTTTCATCTATTTACAAATAATTATTTAAATGCTCCGTTGTAGATGCAATAAGTGGTGGAGTGTTTGACTAGCGTTTAGCACCAACATACTATGTTAATGCGCTGCTATTAGATGCGAACGGGAGAATTCGGTGCAGCTCGAGGGAAAACACCAATCAGTTTCTGACAGTTTCGTTATGACAGTTTCTTGAGAGTTGTTTATTATTTGTTATTAATGTGAACAACCTTAAGTAGATCCGTTTACTTGCCGAAAGACCTGAACCGATCACGGAATAGATTAAGACATTTTGGACTGACAGGCTGTAGTGCTAGTACATTGGCGGAGTAAAACACAAGAAGAGAGGTTTTGCGTTTCGCCTAGACACACAAGTTTCATCATTCGACAAGAAGACACCGATTTGCAGCTAAAAAAGAGAAATCCTCGTACCAATGCGATAACCCTGGGAAAATAATGTATGTCGTGCGTATTTGGAGTTGATTTTCACTCAACATTCACAGTATTCACAGTATGAGAGAAAATATAATTTTGTCCGTATTTTCATGCCGTCTTCATATTAAATTTCACACGTTCACCATTAACATACGGCAACATTATTTCAGTTTTTTAAGAAGAACAATGCATTTTATGGCAATGCAGGGTTTCATCAGCCTCCGAGTCTTCTTAC